CCTCCTCCTCCTCCTCCTCCTCCTCCTCCTCTTCCTCCTCCTCTCCCTCCTGCTCCTGCTCCTCCTGCTCCTGCTCCTCCTCCTCCTATTCCTGCTGCTCCTGCTCCTGCTCCTCTGTATTGTTTTGGAGCCGGTCCTGGCACTCACTCTGTAGCCATGCTGGCCTTGAACTCACAGAGATCCATCTGCCTCTGGCTTTTCTAGTTTTATAACTTAGAAGGTTGAGTTGCTCACTTTTTTTGTGGGAGTTCATCCTTTTCTTCTTCAGTTCCAATTCGTTTGTGTGTATGACGACTCACAGCACTCCATGGGGTAATGCTGATGACGTTGGCATACACAGCAATGTCCGCATTTCAGTTCTAGTTCTGTTGTTTGGGGATTCACTCTTACATTGTTTGGATTGGGTGTCCTCAGTACTTCGTGAAGTCTGTCTCACTGTTCATTAAGTCTTCACAGTAGCTTATTAAGGAACACTAAACCAGGGGCTAGAAAGATGCCACGGCAGTTAAGAGCTCCTGCAGTTTCCAGGGTTCTCTTTATATGCCCTGTGCTTTAACAACTTTCTGTAACCCAGGTTCCAGAACAGCAATTCTGAACCTGTTCTCCTTGGAAACTCACACCATAGCAAAGTGTATTGGCTGACACAGTTGGTAGGGCTGGCTCAGGGGCTTGCATTGGCTTGGCAGCTTGGTTATTGGCTGTACCAGGAAACCACCACTCCAGGAGCAAAGCTTTTCCTGTTCTGTCCTGGGCTTTTCCTGTCTGAGGCCATGGGTGTCATCTGTTTGATGATCGCCTTATCATCATCTTCCTCACTGAGGCTCTGTGTGGTCATGTAGCTATCCCTGGTGCTTTGACTCAGTGTCAGTCCCAGTGCTGAAGTGTAAAAAGCTTAACTATTAGATAGCGTTCCTCTCACTAACCCCAAAATAAATTCATAAGGCATATCTTCTTGTCATTTAAAATCCTTCACTCTCAAGTGTTTTGTGTCAGATTTGAAGTGAATGTTTTTGAGAAGTATATGCTTTACTTTCATTTTCACTGTGTAGCCCTGGGGTGCCTGCAGTTCTGCAAACCCACAAGGATGCCCTCCAACACACAGAGCTCTGCCTGGTCCTGCCAGCAAATGTGTGGTGAGCACCATCACAGCCAGCCTCATTTTTTGTTTGCTTCTTTCATTTCTCAAAAAGCTCCATGCTGGGTTGCATTGTGGGTACAGTGAGTTGGATTCCTACCAGCACTGTGCGTATCTGTTCTTGTGCTTGTATGGTCTCCATTATTTGTTAATGTCAGTGTAGCTTGCATGAGCATATTTGACCTTCGATTTGAAAGGGCAAGAAGAGGCCCAGTTGTTGTTTCTGAGACACAATCTCAGGAACAGAGCAATAGGGAGAAATGGCTGCTTCGCCCGTAAATACACTCAAGATCAGTGTACTGGCTACTTTGTTTTGTTTTGTTTTTATCCTGGGGATGCCATATATTGAGATCATGCAAACCTTTAAAACTCCTTTTTTTGAAAAGGATACCTGGCTCAGCAAAAAAAAAAAAAAAAAAAAAAAAAAAAAAGAAAAAAGAAAAAATGTGCTCTTGAAGAGAACTGAAAGTCTGTTTATAGCACTCATGTGTTGACTTGTAACCATCCATAATTCCAGTTCCAGAGGGTTTAATGTCTGTTAAGGATTTCTCATACATACCCCACAGGATGCTTTCTGTGCTATAGACGGCTGGGCCTTGGTGGCGCACGCCTTTAATCCCAGCACTCAGGAGGCAGAGGCAGGTGGATCTCTGTGAGTTCGAGGCCAGCCTGGTCTACAGAGCGAGTGCCAGGATAGGCTCCAAACCTACACAGAGAAACCCTGTCTCGAAAAACAAAACAACAACAACAAAAAGACATTTGGTGATTTTTCTCTACCTGTTTATACTTTTTTGTTTTTAAATTTAGATTTCTCCGTTCTTTCTTATGGCTCTGGATACAAGAGTATATATTGTATCCATCTTCCTGTCCTTACAGTTTTTCTGCTAATGCTATTCAGTTTTCCTCTGCACTGTACTCTTGGCATTGGTATAGCAACTTGCCCTTTACTAGGATCAGCTCATTTCTTCCTGTTACCTTTAGGAGTTTATCATAAAATCTCTTTGTTTGTTCTATGGCATATTCTACTGGGATTTTTGTATCATGGGGCTTATGTTTGTTATGTGATTTTATTTTTATTTTTTTTATATTCTGGTTGGCAATATTACTGGTACTAATTCTTTCATTCTAGTTAGAAATGGTAGTTCAAATTATTTTATTATTATTATTTTTTGGTTTTTCAAGATGGGGTTTCTCTGTGGCTTTGGGTGCTGTCCTGGAACTTGCTCTTGTAGACCAGGCTGGTCTCGAACTCACGGAGATCCGCCTGCCTCTGCCTCCCAAGTGCTGGGATTAAAGGAGTGCACTACCACCACCCAGCTAGTTCAGTGGTTTTGTTTCTTAAACATATTTTGTTATTCCTCAGCTGTCCTCTATTCATTAATTCCTTATATAAAATGCATTATTTCCCATGTTCTTAGGGATAACTTCTCTCTGAATTTCTACCTATACTTTTCCTCTCATAATGGTTTGCAGTGCTGATTAATTGGGTGACCTGTGACCTGTGCTATTTTATAAACTTTTTAAGAATGTGCCTTTCTCCATAAAATTTAAGAGCCTGTGATGAAGGATGCAATGATAAGGTTCATAGTCATTTTCTCAACTCTATTCTAAATATGTTCTTTGATTCTCTCCTATGTATAGGAATGTTGAAAAGTTTTCTGGTATCATTTTAGTTGTAAGTCTTTTTATGTGGTTTGACATTATTCATAACAGAGTAGTATTAATTTTAGCTCTTTATTTTTGACATCTTGATGTGAAGTTTCAAGAAGAGTACCGGTCTTTGTTTCTGAGAGAGAAGCTGAGAGAAGAGCACCAACAATGGATGCTTCTGTGATAAATGCTCCCCAGGTCAGTGTCGTGTCCACATTTCTTTGGAAATTGTTTTTATTGTTAAAGCCATTCAAGACTTTAATTCTCTGCCTCTGGTAATGTTATCGAGAGTCTTTATTTTCTATGATTTATCTGTTTTCTTCTATGATAATCAAGAGTAAGTCTTTAGATCATTCATCTACATAGCACAGCCTGGTCCCATTACATTTTCACTCATATTAAACTGTGATGACGTAAATTTTCATGGAATTAATAACTGCCATTCTGAAAGGGAATCCATTGTAAATGGTGCTCATGGTAACATATTGATGGCCTTTTTCTACATAGAATAGACTTGTGTCCTTTTATATTCATGAGGAAGGAAGGTTTCATGTGCCTCGTGATTGCATTTCTGCGATTGTCAGTTTTCCAGAAACAGGCCTATGAATGTGGACTGCAAATACATTCACCCATTCACTGTCATAACAGAGAAATTCATGCAAAAGTACAGTTACAATTAGAAGAGACTTGCTGTCTTGAATCCAAATAGTAAATGTTACAGCACCATAGAGAGTGCATAATGGAAGCAATAATGTATCTTTCTGTTCCATAAAACTGATTTGTCTGTGAGGATCCTGGTCTCCTTTTTTTTTTGTATTTTATGTAAAACAAAGATGATGGGTGTGTTGATACCTGAAATCTATTTGTCTCAGGGAAGGTTCTGTACAATTCTCAGTGGTAAGTTCTCAATAGACGGATGATAATTTCTGTCTGTCTGTCTGTCTGTCTGTCTCTTTGTCTCTCTATTTTTTTCATAAGTGTCATAAGTACTACTGTCGCTATCTTGAATTCCATCATGTGGAATATATTACAAAGAATTGTCTAAAAAGGATTGACTTGGTACTGTACATCAGTCGTCAATTTTCAAGTATCAACAGATGTCATAGAAATTACTTTCCTGTCTTTTTATTTCTTGGAGGAAGAACGATACTTCCACCTGCTGGTTTCCCTGTCCCTGAAGCTATGTTTTTGTGTAGGGAGAAATTCTTAAGAGTAGTGGTGATGGTTCTATTTCTTTCTTTACAATACTATTCTATGAATGTATGAGTGTTCATATGCATATTTTTATGTGCAATGCATGGTGCCTTATGCCACTGGATGCCTAGAGTTTGCACCAAACTGCCAACTGCCATGTGTATAGAAGAACGGCACGTGCCTTTAATGCCTGAGTCTCTTCTCCAGACCACAGGCTTACATTTGTGGTGCACATTTGTGACAAAGTCAGTGTATAGCGTTGCATCTTCTAGTTTTCAACAATGATGGAAGAATTATAGGTGATATTTATCAGTGCAGCCTAAAATACTGCTGGGTGAATGAACACTACTAATGAAGAAATGAATAAAGTTGAAATTAGAAGATTCAAATTTTAAACTCACCCAATCTCATGAGCAATAATGTGTTCAAAATTAATGAAAAGTTAGTGTAATCATTACTCAATTTAATACATTATTTCACTCACAGAAAATGTTTCTACTTCATTTGAATGCATTGTCATATGTCATTTATTTACGCACATATTTCTCATTCTGTAAGGTAACACCCTATGGAATTTCTGTAATTGTTATAATCTATATTGTTTGTGTCCACGTTTAATAAAATTAAACAAGAATAATGCTGTCTAAATCTGATTTTACAAATTACTTCTTGGTTTTGAAGATATCCTTATAAAATAAATTCAGAAGAAGTTTTCATGTTATGTGTTTTTTGGGATCTTGGATGTGTACAGTGATGTTACTGTGTTACTCTTTAAAGAAAAAACACTGATTTTAATTCATCCAAGAATTCTGCACTCTATATTCTACCTATTTGTTCTAGAAAGGCTGCAACACTGTACTGGGGCCTCAGGATCTGAACTGAGCATTTTAGAATAGAGTAAGGCGAGACCCAGATGCAAACAGGATTGGTCTAGTGTCCAATATTTGAGCAAGGTCAACAGTTGTAGAATTTGGAAAAATAGTTTTTCTCAGTAGCTTGACCATCTGAGATGTGATACCAACACATAAAGGAACATTTCAGCCTCTAATGCTCAAATGTCTATCTTATATACCCTAAAAGTTTACTGATATATCATTGCCCTATTTTCCCAAAGATTAAAAAACAGTTAAGACTATGAATATTTTAGAATGTCGTTAATTAAAATTATAATTAAATTGTATACATGTCTCTATATTTGCGTGGATGTATATGTACATACCATGTATGCCTCCTGTCTCTAGAAATCAGATGAGTGCATTAGCTTTTATATGGAGTTAACATCTGTTTTATGGTGTCTTAGTGGTGGGAACTACAATATATTTTTCCAAGACTTTACAGAATCCATACCTGACATAAAATTTTCAAATGTAGTGATGGTGGCAAGTCCTTTATCTGCTGCTCATGTATTAGAAAACATGAGAAAATTCATGAAGGAGAAACACCTTGTGAGTGTAAGTAATGTAGTAAGTCATTCTATATATTGTTTATTTAAAAGCAATAATGCTTAATTTCTGACATATCTCTAGAGCACATCTCAAACACCTTTGTCCTTGATTAATTGCTGTACCTCACCTGCATTACAGAACTGTCTCTGATTCTTTAGATCTCTTATCTAGGACATCATTTTGTGCAGGAGCACATGGTAATTAGGTAATTTTCCATTGCAGGGTCCGATATCATTCAGGGATGTGGCTGTGGACCTTTCACAGGAAGAATGGGAATGTCTGGACTGTGCTCAGAGGGCTTTGTACTTGGATGTGATGCTGGAGAATTACAGCAATCTAGTCTTTGTGGGTAAGAATGTTCTTTTACAATCCCTGATTCATCCTTTGTATTTCCCATTTCATGTATATATAAACTCTTGAACTTTCTAGAGACTCCTCAACTTAGGGAAATTCTAGTTATTAACATGTATTTTTCATGATGCTTCCTTTACATCATGTGTTCTCTCAAAGAGTGGCCATTGCTATATTCTGTGTAATATCTCCCGCCCTCTTATATAGCTTTGGAGTAAAACTTCAACTGTACATATAATAATTGGAATATTTTGATTTTACTATTATATTGAAGACTTATTTTTCTTTTACAAAATTCAGAATGTTATAGAGAAAGAGCTCTTGTTTGTGAGAATGTTACTCTTTTATTAATTTAAGTTTTGAGATATGGTCTCAATGTGGAAAATTTCTTTCCACCTCCTCATGCCTTAAAACACCATGGAGAATTCAAAGGGGACCAACTATCACAGCATGATTTTAATCATAGCATTTTGGATAATGAAGTGAAAGGGTATGTTGAGTTCTGTATTTCCCTGGGTTATAGTAAGCTCCTAACTCTGCAATACTTCATAGTGTGACTCTCAAAATCATAAGAAAGTAGAGTGTGTCTCTTTAAATAGAGAGCTCCTTTGTCCAAGTTCTTTCTTGCTAACCACCTACTTGTCCTGTCTCCTGCAACGTACAATGTTCAGATAAGAATTAGAGGCCTATTTTTTTGTCACTGTAGTTTGATATATATCAGATTGGAGGTTCTTGTGATCTTCCATTTAATGATTGTGAATTAGAAAATGCCTTTGCTGGGAGCTTAATCCCTGAAAATTTCTTGTTTACATGTCTCAGAAAATGTTATTGAATCTCTTACTCATAGACTAATCCATGTTTTTCCTAATTGCATTAATTTTCCAGAGAACCATTGCATATATGGTAAATATGAGAAGATATTGGATCAAGGCACAAAGCATATGACCCATAAGCATGTGAATATCCAAGAGAAGCATTTTGAGTTTGATGAGCTTGGCAAAGTTATTCATGAATCTGCTGAAAGTACACTGTATGGCAGAAATGGCATTGCAGAAACCTGCAAGAAGGACATATTTGCTTACCACAGAGAAGCTATTGTAGAATCATTAAATATAATCAGACATCCAAGTAGGGACACTGGAGAAGAACCTTACATAGACAAAGAAAGTATAAAGTCTTTTGATTTCTGTTCCATCATTAGTCAACCTCAAAGAATCCATACAACAAAGAATGAATACAATAATACAGAGTATGATAAATCTTTTGACTCTAAACATAAATTCATGCTGAATGGAATTAATAGTAGAAGGAATCCACACCAATGCAGAAAATGTGGAAAATGCTTCAAGTTGTACTCAAGCCTCAGTAGACATCAGAACGCTCATAATACAGAGAAACCCTATAAATGTACAAAATGTGGTAAATCCTTTCTGCATTTGTCTCAACTCAAAGTACATTGCAAAATCCACTGTGGGGGAAAACTCTACAAATGTACAAATTGTGGTAAGTGCTTTTCTCATGCATCACACTTGGAAAGACATTACAGCTTCCACACTGGAGAGAACACTTACAAACCTAGTGATTGTGGCAAATCCTTTGTCTGCTGCTCAGGTCTTACAAAACATCAGAAAACTCATGGAGGGGAGAAACTTTCTGAATTTAAACAATGTACTAGGACATTCTATACATGGTCACACCTTAAAAACCATTGTAGAACCTATACAGGAGAGAAACTTTACATATGTAATGAATGTGGCAAATCCCTTTATACCTTTTCAGGTCTTAAAAGGCATCAGAGAATTCACACAGGTGACAAACATTACAAATGTAATGAATTTGAGAAACGCTTTACTGAGAAAGGAAGTCTTAGAACTCATCAGGCAATACATACAGGAGACAAACCTTACAAATGTAGTGAATGTAACAAATCTTTTACCAAGAAAGGCAGTCTTAGAATTCATCAGAGAATACATACAGGAGAGAAACCTTACAAATGTAGTGAATGTGAAAATCTCTTTATTTGTGTCTCTCACCTTAGAAATCATAGGAGAATACATATAGGAGAGAAACCTTATAAATCTAGTGAATGTGACAAATACCTTACCCATAGTTCAGATCTTACAAGACACCAGAAAATTCATACAGGCGAGAAACCTTACAAGTGTAGTGAATGTGACAAATCCTTTACAAGGGAATTCTATCTTAGAACTCATCAGAGAATACACACAGGAGAGAAACCTTACAAATGCAGTGAATGTGACAAATACTTTACCCATGGCTCCGATCTTAGAAAACATCAGAAAATTCATACAGGAGAGAAACTTTACAAATGTAGTGAGTGTGAGAATCTCTTTATCTGTGTCTCTCATCTTAGAAGTCATCAGAGAATACATACAGGAGAGAGACCTTACAAATGTATTCAATGTGAAAAATCCTTTACCCATAGTTCAGACCTTAGAAGACACCAGAAAAGTCATACAGGCGAGAAACCTTACAAGTGTAGTGAATGTGACAAATCCTTTACAAGGAAATTCTATCTTAGAACTCATCAGAGAATTCACACAGGAGAGAAACCTTACAAATGCAGTGAATGTGATAAATACTTTACCCATGGCTCAGATCTTAGAAGACATCAGAAAATTCATACAGGAGATAAACCTTACAAGTGTAGTGAGTGTGACAAATCCTTTACCCAGAAATGTAGTCTTACAACACACCAGAGAATTCATACAGGAGAGAGACCTTACAAGTGTAGTGAATGTGACAAGTCCTTTATAAGTAAATTTTACCTTGGAACTCATCAGAGAATCCACACAGGAGAGAAACCTTACAAGTGTAGTGAATGCGACAAATTCTTTACAAGAAAATTTCATCTTAGAACTCATCAGAGAATCCATACAGGAGAGAAACCTTACAAATGTAGTGAGTGTGACAGATCCTTTACTAGCAGCTCTGTTCTCAACAAACATCAGAAAATACACACAGGAGAGAAACTTTATAAATGTAGTGAATGCGACAGATTCTTTACTGAGAAATGCAATCTTGAAACTCATCAGAGAATTCATTCAGGGGAAAAGCCTTATCAATGTAGTCAGTGTAAGAAATCATTTATCCAGAAAGCCAACCTAAGAACACATCAAAGAATTCATATGAAAGAAGCCTTACAAATATAATGTATGCAGAAGAATCTTTACCAGTCTCTCAAGTCTAAGACATCACCTGAGAATTCATAACTGGGGATAAAAATTTCCATAGGAAATTATGTGTCATGGTCTTTATCCAAGCTCTGTACTTGCCACACTTAAAGTGTCACACTGGAGAACCATATTAAACATATATGCTTAATATATGCTTTAATAGTGCTTAATCTTGCAAAGAATGGGGTTATGTTGAGGGAAATTCTAATATTATGACAATGTAGGGAATTTTTAATTAAAACGTTACTTTTTAACCTCAAATACTTCATGATGAAGAAACCTGAAGAACATGTTTCTGTGTAACAGTTTCCTAGAGATTGAATTGGTCGACTCTGAAGGGAAGCCGAGTAAGGCAGGACATAGAACTTGAAGCTCAAAAATCCCTGAAACTGACAAGTTTCAGTGTGCTTCACTCAAATTAATAAACTTTTAAAAATCATGCTGCTTTTAAGAGGATTTGTCAAATTGACTCACCAGGAGTGGATGTTCTATAACCTGTAGATATGCCCATTTGTGTACTCTGGGTATTCAATATTCTTTTGGTGTATCCCATGCTGGTTGGAGTTTAATAATGGCAGCCATCTTTGTATACCTTTTGACCTGGTAAAATACTCATTTCCCATATTCCTGTAAGGCAAATAAAGCTGACTGGCTTAAAAAGTTACACTTGGTGCTGTTTTCAGTTCCCAGTCGGGGTGCCTAGATGTGTGTATGTGTATGTGTATGTATGTATGTAAACAGAAAATTGACAACAGAGCCACTGTTCTCATCATGAGGCTTACAACCCCTTTGGGTGTCAAACTACCCTTTCAACAGGTGGCTTTGACCATAGGAAAACCAATTTCTGGTTGTCTTAGAAACCCAGATAGTGTTTCTGTTTTCCGTCTCAAGGTGGGTTAGTTAGCCCACAGGTAGATATGCCCACATATAATCACCTGGAACTCTATTAAAGAGGTTGCAGTATTAAGAACCTGGAACAAAGGTGTTTGAGTCATGTAAGGTAGTCAAGATTATGCTCACTACTCCAGGCTTACTGCCATACTAGTACTTAGGTAAGCAAAAGGGTCTACACAAATAGAATGCAGAGGATTTGGGAACCTGAGATTGCTGCTCTCTTTGCATTCTAGGAGGGGTGATAGAGGGGTGTGCACAAATGACAAATGAAAATCCAGCCCACGCATAGACTGCCAGGGTCCTAGTTCCTTTCTCTGCCCAAGGGACTTGGTAAGCTTGGGCCTGTTTCTGGCATGCACTTCGGTGCCCTGCTTGGAGACATCGGAGGCCTGGGGAGTGAGCACTGTAGATCCCATCCAGGCAGATCCAGCCCACACAGAGAGTGCCAAGGCCTGGGTACCAGTCCCACCTCCATCCATGGAAAGAGGAGAGCCACCAGAGTATTGGACCTGTTTGCACCCATCGGAAGGGAACCTTGGTCCCATACCCACCAGGAGAGGAAGAGACTCCTCTACACCCACCAGAAGAAGGGATGTGAAGAAGACATTTTTAAAAACACATTCAACAACAGAAAAACCAATATAGGAACTCTACACCAGCAAGAAATGAACATCCCAATACAGATGAAGTAGAAGAGAATGACCTTAAAAACCACTTCATGAAAATGATAGAGCCCTCAAAGAGGATATGAGAAAATCCCTTAAAGAAATGGAAGAAAAAACAATCTAAAAAATACAATATATCAACAAACTTCTTAAGGAAACAGTTCAACCTGAAAACTGAAATAGACACAAAACGAAAAACAAATTGAGGGAATGCTGGAAATAGAAAAGCTGGAATTACAGATGAAAGCCTAACCAACACAATACAAGAGACGGAAGAGAGAATCTCAGGAGTTGAAGATACACTAGGAGAAATAGACTCATCAACCAAAGAAAGTCTTAAGTCCAACAAATCCTTAACACAAAATATCCAGGAAATATGGGACACCGTGAAAAGACCAAACCTAAGAATAATAGGTATAAAAGAAGGTGGAGAAACTCACCTCAAAAGGGCAGAAAACATATTCAACAAAATCATAGAAGAGAACTTTCCCAACCTAAAGAAAGACATGTCAATGAAAGTACAAGAAGCCTACAGAACACAAAATAGAGTGGACTACAAAAAAAGCCCCATTGCCACATAATAATCAAAACACCCAAACATACAGAATAAAGAAAGAATATTAAGAGCAGCTAAGGAAAAAAGTCAAGTAACAAAGGCAAACCAACAGAATTATACCTGCCTTTAACATGGAAACACTGAAAGACAGAAGGTCGTGGATAGTTTACCAACACTAAGACACCAAGGATGCCAGTCCAGACTGCTATACCTAGCAAAGCTTTCAATCAATATAGATGTAGAAAACAAGATATTCCATGACAAAACCAGATGTACCAATATATATCTACTAATCGAGCCCTACAGAAAGTTCTGGAAGGAAAACTGCAACCCAAGGAAGTTAACTACAACCAGAAAAACATAGGCAATAGATAATCCCACTTTACCAACAGCTTGTATGGGAAATGTTGGCCATGCCCACTTGGAGGCTGGCACAGGTGACACAGACTACCCACACTTGGGCATGGTCAGAGTGACATAGCAAGGCTTTAAATATGACAGTCACATGCATGCGGCTCTCTCTGTTCCCTGACCTGCTTGGCTGTACAAGACTGACTCCGTCACATGAGTACTTTCCTAATAAACATCTGCTCATCAAAGTTGCTCTGACTCCTTAGTGGACCACATTTATTGTGTTTCACAATAACAGCCAAAAGAAAAAAAGGGGTTGAAATCCATACACAATTCCACCACCACCACCAAATCCAAAACAAACAAGAAGGAACAATCAATGGTCATTAGTATCCCTCAATATTAATGGTCTTCACTTGCCTATTTAAAAAAAAAAAAAAAAAAACACAGGCTAGCAGAATGGATATGAAGACAGAATCCATCCTGTTGCTTACAAGAAAGACGCCACAACATCAAAGGCAAATGGTACCTCACATTTAAGGGTTGGGAAAAGATTTTCCAATCAAATGTTCCCAAGAAACAAGTGGGAGTAGCAATCCTAATATCAAACAAATTAGACTTTAAAATCAATCAAAAGAGATGAAGGTAATTTCATAACCATCACCGGAAAAAATCCATCAACATGAAGTCTCACTCAATTCTGAACATCTATGCTCTAAATACAAAGGCATCCATGTTCTTAAAAGACACAGTACTAAAACTAAAATCACACATGAAACCTCACACACTTAGAGTGGGAGACTACAGCACCACATCTCACCACTAGCCAAGACCACCAGACAGAAAATTAACAAAGAAACAAAGGAACCAATAGAAGTTATGACCCAGTTGGGTTTAACAAACTATAGAACATTCCATCCAAACACAAAAAACTATCCCTTCTTCTCAGTGCCACATGGAACCTTCTCTAAAATTGACCACATACTTGGGAAAATAGCAAACCTCAACAGGTACAAAAAAATTAAAATAATCCCCTGTATCTTATCAGACCACCATGCTTTAAAGTTAGAATTCAACAACAACAAACATTGCAGAAAAACTACAAACTCATGGAAATTGAATAATGCACAAATGCACCACTTGGGTCAAGGAACAAATAAATAAAGAAAATGACTTCCTAGAATTCAATAAGAATGAAGACACAACATACCCAAACTCATAGGACACTTTGAAAACAGTGTTATGAGGAAAGTTAATAGCACTTGGAGAAATTGGAGAATAGTCACACTAGAGAATTAATAGCACAACTGAAAACTTTAGAAAACAAAGACGAAAACTTACTATGGGTGAGTAAAGACTGGGAAATAATCAAATTGGGGGCTGCAATCAATAAAGTAAAAACTAGGAAAACAATACAAAGAATCAATGTAATGAAGAGTTGGTTCTTCGAGAAAAATCAACAAGATATCAAACCTTTGACCAAACCCACCAAACAGCAGAGAGTGAACATGCAAGTTAACAAAATCAAAAAAGAAAAGGGGGACATACAACAGAGAGTGAGGAAACCCAGAGAATCATCAGGTCAGACTTTGAAAACCTATACTCCACAAAATTCAAAAATCTAAAGGAAATGGACAATTTTCTGGATAGATATCACTTACTAAAATAAAAAAAAACATAAGCAATTTAAACAGACCTATAACCCCCAATGAAATAGAAGCAGTCATCAAAAGACTCCCAAGCAAAGAAGCCCAGGACTTCAGTACAGAATTCTACCAGAAATTTAAAGAACAGCTAATACCAATTCTCCACAAAGTATTCCACACAATAGAGGCAGAAGGGTCATTGCCAAACACTTTTTACAAGGCTTCAATAACCTTGGTACCCAAGCCACACAAAGACACAACTAAGAAAGAGAACTACAGACTAATATACCTCATGAACATAGATGTAAAAATACTGAATAACATACTGGGGAATCAAATCCAAGAACAAAATAGAAAAGTCATCCACCATGATCAAGGAGGCTTCATCCCAGGGATGCAGGAATGGTTCAATACACGAAAATCCATCAATGTAATCCACCATATAAACAAACTGAGAAGGAAAAAATCACATGATCATCTCAATAGATGCCGAGAAAGCTTTTGACAAAATCCAACACCCCTTCATGATAAGGTCCTGGAGAGATCAGGGATAACAGGAACATACCTGAACCTAATAAAAACAATATACAGTAAACAACAGCCAACATTAAACTAAATGGAGAGAAACTCAATGTGATTCCTCTAAAATCAGGAACAAGACAAGGCTGTCCACTCTCTCCATATCTCTTCAATATTGTCCTTGAAGTTCTAGCTAGAGCAGTAAGACAACAAAAGGAGATCAAGGGGATAGAAACTGGAAAAGAATAAGTCAAACTCTCACTATTTGCAGATGATAGTTTACATAAGTGACCTGAAAAACTCTACTAGGGAACTCCTACACCTTATAAACACCTCCAGGAAAGTGGCAGGATACAAGATTAATTAAAAAAAATCTGTAGCCCTAATATATATAGATGATAAACATGCTGAGAAATAAATCAGAGAAACATCACCTTTACAATTGCCACAAACAACATAAAATACCTTGGGGAAACACTAACCAAACAAGTGAAAGTCCTGATTGCAAGAACTTTGACTTTATAAACAAAGAAATTAAAGAAGATACCAGAAAATGGAAGGATCTCCCATGCTCTTGGATAGGTAGGATCAACATAGTAAAAATGTCAATCTTGCCAAAAGCAATCTACAGATTCAATGCAATCCACATCAAAATCCCAGCAAAATTGTTCACAGACTTTGAAAGAACAATTCTCAGCTTTATATGGAAAAACAAGAGACCCAGGCTAGCCAAAACAACCCTGTACAACAACGGAACTTCCAGAGGCATCACTGTCCCTGACTTCAAGCTCTATTACTGAGATATAGTCCTGAAAACACCTTGGTATTGGCACAAAAATAGACAGGAAAACCAATGGAATCTAATTGGAAACCCTGATATTAACCCACACACCTAAGAACACCTGGGTTTTTTTTGACAAAGAAGCTAAAATTATACAATGAAAAAAATCATCTTCAACAGATGGTGTTGGTATTACTGGATGGTGGTGTGTAGAAGAGAGCTGTCCCTATTTCTCATCTGACTTGTGGCAGC